TTGACACATTACTTCTCATGATATTGGCTTTGAATTAAAGGTACCCCCATGAAATTTCTCTTCCAAAGAAAGATATTGCCACATTTTACTATAATACAGTTTAAGTTTGAGTGTATATCTGTATTTACAAAGTATTTAAAACAATAATAATATACACCCAATACCTATTGTCCCTAAAATTTATCTTGTTTTACGTAATAAAAAAAACACTTGTCAGTAAATTAGAGACAATGAATCAGAATGTGATTGACCCATTCTCACAAACTGGATGATCTGTTTAAAGAAGTAAGTGTGCTGCAAGTGAATCTACTATTTTCATATACTAGTATTCTAAAGATAATTTTGCATTGTGATTGTGTTGGGTTTGCAGGGGGGGGGGGGATGCTTCTAATGTGATAATTATTATTCAAGATGAATATTGCAATGTTTGAAATAATAAAATTTGTCACTATCAAATCGTAGCAACTCCTATTCTTGCGAACTATCAGTGTTAGCTTCAACTTGTCCACTGACAATAGTCTGTCTGTCGCATCGATTTGATACATGTAGCATACTCGTGGTCCATGTTTTCTGCATATTCTAATCAACAGAAATGTCGTTTATATTATATCTTTATTACCTTATCGTCTTTCTGTCAACCAAAATTTATTTCCAGCCTTCTCTTTTTAATTAATTTTCTCGTTAAACTGTACAAGCAATGTTCGTAAGTTTGTTGATGCAACTGGCTTATAGCAAAATCGTTACTGGATATTTAAAATGCAGGGTTGGCCAGGAAATACCAGTGGTGGGAATTACCGGTGGTAAATACCGGTATTTCCCGTCCCGGTAAATACTACAAATTTTCTCTAAACTGGGAAATACTGGGAAATACAAAATTTAAGATTTTTATTTCTTTAATTCATTTAATCTCAGGCAAAATTCAGATATAAAATGAACATAAAAACAGAAGATGAATAAAATTAATTATGTCTCAAACTGCAATTTAACCTACTTAGTACAAATCACTACTCCAGGTCCACTACACATATAAAGCATTCTGTAGCAGAACATGTTTCCCTGATTGTATTTTAAGAACAAAACTGAAGTTTTCTAATTCAAGTTTCATTTCAGTAATTAAGTAAAATTATAAAGTTTATTTATTAATTATAGATCCAAGAATACAATAAACTTGTCTTAATCCTTCTATAAACACTGTATTTTTAAAATCAATCATGTTGTTTTAACAAATTGATTCTGGACAGTTCTGTGATCCTGTAAAAAGTGTTTTGAGAGATAATTACACCTTGAGTAGATCTGAAAAGCTTCTTCTTAGGTTTGATATTTACACTATATTCTACACTTAACAATTTTCTTAGGTCCTTCTTGTTACACAAAAAATCCAAATGGGATCAAGCATGAAACAAATGACACTTGTGACTGGGATATGAGTATACTGTGATATGATTAATTAAAATAAAGTACTAGGAAACCAGAAATTCTTATATCAGGGACAGTGATACCTGCAGGTAGATATCTTAATTAGTTAATAAGGTGTACTGTACATATTGTATGGCAATATAACTTATGTTAGTCACACCTAAGGTCTGTAATATAAAGCAGATGTATAGTTCCAAACAAATATGATTAAAGTTATAAAACATGAAGGTATCTCTTATTTCCCGGGAAATACCAGTAATTCCTGGGAATTACCAGTATTTCCCACTGTCCTGGTAAATATGAGTATTTCCCACTTTTTTGCCAACCCTGTTAAAACGCCAAGTAAAAGTCAAACCAATATAGTTAAAAAATCACATCTTGGAAATAAGAAGTGTAGATCTGTTCATTAGTGACGTAGTGTGAGTATTGGTCTACTTTAATACATGTATAATAACATTTAAGGAGGCTGGGGGTCAACAAATTAACCATAAATTAACCACCAGATTTAACTTAATTTTTTAGATATGATATCTTAAGCTGTCAACTATCATTTGGCAAAGAAAAATTTCAAAAATTTTAGTTTTAAAATTTGATCATTTTCTATATCTTCATATGGAGCTCTTCTTCTAAAGGAGATCAATATAGTCTAAAAATGGCCACAACCCCCCAGCCTCTTTAAAGTGCATCTATCCAGGCTTAAAATAATATGTTTGATGTCAATTTTATACACTGAATTCCTTTCCATTTCTTATTCATAAATTTCTGCTCGTACAGTTGAGTTTGTACTTGCATATAAGCTAGGCTTATCATATTTGGCAGATAGGTGAAATACAATATAAGATAATGTGTCACATACCATACAGACCCACATATGACTTTGCCCTTAAGGTCAAATTACAATATTTTTGTATGTCTTTTTACCCCACAAGGAACCCATGGGAAGCCCAAGTGAACATGATATGGTTATAATTTACATGCTTAACTACATTAAATGAGCATCTATCCATGTTTAAAATGGCATTTGATGAAAATTTATTGTTTTGAATTCCATTTTCTGTTCATTGAGTGACTGAGAACTAATCTACCCACTTAATTTATGTGCAAATTGACTAAAAGAAACTGATTAATATGATTTGACTATATTAAATTATTTTACAAACTATCAGTTCTCAAAAATTTACATTTTAATACTTAATTAAAATAAAATAATAATGCTGAGTAACGTATTTTACCTATCTTAAACCTGACTGAATAACGATCCCAACCCAAAAATGAACTGAACCGAACGTGGATGGAGATTTTGCATCGTGTATCAAACCAAGTAAAAATACCACGGTTAATCGATACTGCGGTGAACCGTTTCACTCCTGGGCATTTGGTCAACAGCAAATCAATCATAGAAACATTATTTATGAGCATAATGAGATGGAAAGACTATGGCCTAACTAGCATAGGGGTGAATCAAATTGCCACTCTGCCACACCCTCGGTCATCTTAATAGGCATTAGCAAATCGTAATGCAATGTACAAAACTAGATTTACAAATCACTAATTGACACATTGCAAGTCTTAAAATTACAAGTGCCGCATTAACAATTCTTGCATTAGATTTTACATTTTAAATAGTTGCAATAAGATTCTGACATTTCCTCACCATTATTTTGAGAGTCTGAATGACCAAGAACAAGAGCATTCCATTTTAGATTTTTTTATTGCAAAAGTGTAATGTCAATACTCATTTTGGTGGAATTTTAGAGGCAAAGACGTAATCCTTTATGTTTTCCTAGTTTTAGTTTTGCAATGATACTCTATTCTCCAAATAAACCTGTAATTGTACAGATCTCTGAACAAAGCAAGGTTGAAGGTTTCTTTTTAAAATAATTTATTGACTCTAAGTCTAGGTGTTGAAGCACTGGTATCCTAAATGCAGTCAAATCAAACTAATTTCAATTTACATGCTTAAAGAAGCATTAGGTTAATTTCTAGCAAATCACATATTACAGAGTTTCATTTCTATGTTAATACAAATTGTACATTATTGCTGTATGTCGATTTCTCTATGTTGCTATAAGCAATGTGAGAATAAACTGAATTGAAAATTGAACAGACTTTATTTACTGCACATATCACCATGATCACTCAATAGCTTTCTAATCAATGGCCTGTTACTCTTTTAAAAGCCATAATACAGAGTTTGAAATTAACAGTCGCCCACTCGCAATTTGCGACTAATGTTCCATGTGGGCGACTTAAAATTACGTTCAAGTTGCCCACATAGCATAAGAAAATTTACGATGATAAATATTTGTTTTTCAATTTTGTCTGAATGTTTTGTATTTTTCTCTTGAAAAATTTCGTAATCAGTAAAGTGCTTTATAATTATCCGTAAGAAGTACTTATACATAAAGCATCTAAGTGATTGTGTTGGGCACAATGTGGCATCGACAGGTTATTGAGCCCAAGAAACCAAAAAGTACTGTTGTTTTTTGTGAATGAAAACGTGCCATGTGCTCTATTTATGATATTGAATGATCATATCAATCTTCATAAACAGAAGAGTTCCACTTCAAATTTAGATAAGTTGTGCGTAATGTTACAACGGATAGAAAAGAAACACGAAGCACATGATAAAAAAAAAAAAATGGAAAATGGGGTTTTTGTTTTTATATTCAGTAGAAGGTGTTATAATCTGTGGGCGAATAAATTTTGATGTGGGCCCCAGAATGCAAGGTTCAGTAGCCCACATGGCTATCAAGGATTACAGGTTAGTTTAAAACCCTGATAATACATGTATTACTATTAGTTTCTTACGTATGTTGTTTGTATCATTAATTATTACATCGTGAAGAACCGAAACCCTCTAAGAACCACTATTATTCAACTTCTTGTATTCATAGAAGGACGCCTTACTTTAACTCCCAAGTTAATCGTTCATTAATTTAGGCAAAATATTTCAAAGTATAAAATTGATTTTCTTTGCATAATAGCATAATTTTATGGTAAAAATCATCAGAATTACAACAAAAGCGGAATGGTAGGCAGCTTTACGTGTTTATTTTGCGAAAAGAGCAACTGAAACTGGGAGAAAAAAGCGGTAATTTTTGACAGGGGAAAGGGGTAAGGGCTGACATTCAGACCTAAATTGGGTTTAGAAAAATCACTGCATGGTGCATATGAAGTGGGAACCCTAGTTAGCAGTAATCTGTGGATTTTATTTATCCTGTTCCCAAGATAAAATATTACAAATTTCAAGGGAAGAAGGAGACTTCCATAACATAGGATACTTTGTGCCAAATTTGGCTGAAAGTACTCAGCATTTCTTGAGTCAAAGATGAAGATGCAAAATTTTTAGGTCATATATACATTTAAATATATATAATATATATAAACTGATACAGAGAGCAAGACAGATGCAGAAAACAGTAGTTGGACAGAAAAGCACAACTTAGCCCGTGGCATTTAAATGACTCAATAATTGAGCTAAAAACACCTAAATTCTTTTGTAAAATAATGCCCATTTTTTTTTAGAAAAGAAACAATAATAGGCTATACCCTCAGAATACACGAGTCAAAAAAATTCATACCTCTTCAGTAAGATCTTCTCCATTGGCTTCAGACCACTTGCTATTTCTTCATTCATGGTTTCTTCCCAGTTTTGACGGTTTTCATAACTAGCACACAGAAGTTTAGAAACTTCACTACTTCGCCGTTTGTTAAAAAGGATAATTCTAGTCATAGCTGCTCCAGCTAACTTTTTCCAGAGGGTAGCATTTTCTCCTTCCTTTTCCAAATCTTTTGTCAATTCACTTATTTGTTCATCCAGGTGGTTTTTTAATAATACAAGGTCACTGGTTACAGGGAGTGCCAAAGGCTTATTAAATTTATTTGTCTGCAGAGTAGCTAAAGCTACAGATGATACTGCAGGTGCCCAGTCTGAGCTATGAATTTCCAAATATCCATCACATTCTTTCTTCATTGTTTCATCCATTTTTCTTATGGCATTGCCTCTTCTGATTTCTGCAACCTTCACTAAATTATGTCCAAGATTTAACGCCAGAGACGGAGTAGAAAATACAGATATTTTCTGCTCATTCTGATGGTAACCAGCCAAGTCTTGGACTGCTTTAACAACTGTATCAAAGTGCTTTGGAGTGATATAACAATGTAGATCATTCTCTTTATTCAACAACTCATTTATTTTGGTTTTTAATCGGGCCAGTTGTCTCATTCTTTGTGAAACATAGTTTGTTCTTCTGGGTCCCAACTGCTTTATTAGCACTTGTCCAAACTGTATGATTAATGGGTCATCAACAAGAGAACTGTACACCTCGTCTTGGCGCATTTTTAACAAAACAGTTTCTTTCAGTTCTTCTGATACACAGACTCTGAAATCTTCCTTTTCTGCACAGAAGTCTATACCCCCTGCAAGTAAAAGCCTGGATCTTGCGATGATGCCTCGTTGGTCTTTTAATTTGGTGTTCTTAAAAGAGCATTTTCCTGTATGCCTCCACAGTTCCTTTTTAGAGAAAAATCCATAACAATGAATGCATGGTAAGTAATCCAATGATGTCAGGGTTTCTTTGCTTGGTCTTCTGCACACTATTAAATCTCCACTTCCTTCCTTGAGCACTTCTATGTTGTATTTAAAATTTCCTAGATTTTTAAGTTTATCAAACAACCTGTCTCTTTCACACTTTGAATTTTTGGCACAGGCCTGAGCAACCATAAGTTCATGTTTGTGCCCATTTTCTAGATGCTTCTGAATCCTGTGGTTGAACACTTTACCACAAAAATAACAGCATAGCTTTTTGTTATATGGTCTCCTCCCATTGATTTTCCGAATTCTTTTGACTTTGACTGCAAGAAGAAAAGATAAAAATTCAAATGACCTTCTGATTTTTATTATTTGCATAATTTACTTTTGCAATTGTCCACATTTAATAAAAACACCAAGTAGTGAAATTACTTTTGCAAGGATTTAATTTTTGGCACTTTTTGTGAAGGTATAAGATTCATCATCAATGTTTTATATCACTGTAAATAAACCTATTTCCTGAACCTCTTTGATTTTTGCATGTAACTTTGATGGTCACATTTGCATAAATTGGGAAAATAACTGGGAAGAAAGGCACTTTTTCTAATCAAGAATGGGTCCAAATTTTGGACTTAAATACTTCATATCACTATTACTTAACTTAGCGGAACTTTTGTGCACTGAAGGTAGGAACTGTCCTTTAGATGGGGACAGTATGCTGTTGCATACACAGCAAGATTTAGTGACTGTAGATATTCAAGGATACAAGAAAAAAGTCCTGGTGAAATATCTTGCTTAACATTCAGTGAACCATGCTATTAAAATTCAAGAGGAGCTAGTCCTCTGTATTACATTTTAGTTGACACTTTTCTCTAAGCCAAATCAAATTCAATCAAATTCTATCATTTCTTTGTGATAATCATCACTTTTGCAGCTGTTTTGGAAGTCGATAAAATACTAAACATTCAAAATTAGACTACTTACTATCTGAAGTGCACCCTGGGCAAATACATTGTTCTTTCAGCATACTTATTGTTCGAATCTGTTTATCGTCAATAGCCTAAACAATTTTATGCCTCAGAAATCTCATGAGATTAAGAGCAGCAGTAAGTTATAGATAAGTGGGAGTTATCACGACACTATGTATTGGATGGATTGACAGGCCTAATTTTTGTGATCTTGCATGCAGCCATTCCAGATAAAAGTCATTTTTTATCAACTTATCAGAAGACATGGCAGCTAAGTAAAATTCTTTTCAATCCAAAAAATAACAACACTTCATAGAACCTCTTTAGGAACATTCATGCCAACTTTAGTGACCTGGCATGCAGCAATTCTAGAAATTTTCAAATGTATAATTTAAATAATAAAGGACCCCGACAATGAGAGATGGTTGTCAAGTGATGTCAATAACTGACAATGGTCTTTGACGAAATAAGCTAAAAATCTAAATACATGTATTTTTTCCAAATCTTGTTAAAATGTCAATATATTCTTTTTTAACTCCAAACATATGATATAAAAAGCATACCTTTATTGTTCACTAAACGATGAAAGGGCTTTCCTGAAATGTATAATGTAAATAAATAAATATGCAATGACAAGGTAACAGAACGAGAGGACAACAAACCATTGCTAAGTTGAAAAGTGGACAATATAATTGACTGATATGCTCTTATACCAAAAGGACAACATACTGACATATTCAAAGGCCTTGATGTATTGACATTTTGATAGATCCACCTACTGAAGGACTAGTTAACTATTGTAACATGAGCAAAGACATTGAAAATATGTTAAATTTCACATCTTTGCTAGCCGAGGGTTTCGGATACGCTACTCTCCTCATAAGCCCTTGGCATAAAGTGTTAAAAAAATTGGGGTTTTTTTCTCAAGTTGTGATTGGAGTTGATCGACATCGCTCGACCAATCAGCAATTGTTTTTTGAAAATGATGATATTTACATTTGGGATATATCTTGTCTCTTCAATATCGGGAATGAAAAACTCAAGAAAATAACGATCCATCAGATAACATGCCATTCTATGAATAGCTATATAGTGTCACCCAATATCTTAGCTACGTGCAAAATATGTGATTAAGAATCAATACTGAAGATGTAGATTAGCATTTTAATTTGTTTAAATAGCAAATTAACATAACTCAATACCTTCTTGTTAATTCTTCTTTAAAAGCATTATTTTTTTAAATACACTTTTTATTTCTGTCAATGACGCAATCTGCGTACCTGGTAAGAATCGCGATCACCAGTCTTTTGTCAGCACCGTATGCCAAGGGTTCATGAGGAGAGTAGCATATCTGAAACTCTTGGCTAGCGAAGATGTAAATTTCAATGCAAATGCAAACATTCATTTAATCATTGAAAGGTTATTTTTTTACTAATCTGCATTACCCACAAACAAACTGAACTAGTAAACTGACAAAGTCACCCAGGGCCCTGCAGTAAGTGCAGATTAATAATTTCAGCTTTTGACTTGACCTCTGACCCATGATCACAAAACTATGTGTCTTCTTTTAATTCTTCCTCTATCTTTGCAGTGAATATAAGTCCAATGGTTGACAAGTACTTGTCTAATGAGTAAACATGTCAAATACTGTAAAATCACATATTTTTGGGAGGCAAATTTTTGAAGTTTGAGAAAAAATAATTAATATGTGGGGATTTGATTTCATGGCTGGAGAAGTGTTGAGTAATAATGCATATTAAATTTTACATTTCGTAGTGGTCATGAATTTGTGGGTCTCTCCATACCTTGAAAACAACAAAAATTAAATCCCCGCGAAAATTAGTGATTTCATAGTAAGCATTTTAAAAAACTGACATATAACTTGACATTGATTTAGTGACCCTGAAATTTATATGTTCTTCCTTATTTTCACCATACTCTATGCATGTAGTGAATATGAAGTCTGGTTGAAAAAAACATAAGTTAACATATCACAGAAGTTTTGACAGGCATATTAACAAATACACAATACAAGTTTTGACCTTGATTACTGATCTTAGTCTTCCTTTTACCATCTTCTACCTATTAAGTGAATACAAAGTCAGTTGCTCAAAAGGTACTCATTATCATGTCTCATAAGTGTTGACAGACACATCAATAATCTAGATATTAGAACTTGACCTCTAACCTAGTGACTCCATATCTCTATAGGTGTCTTTAACAACTTTCTATCTATGTAGTGATCACAAAGTTAACATATTACAATGTACTTGACTTATATTGTCACACAAAAATATTTTTGCAGGCATATCTAGGATCTTGACTTTAGATCTTGACCTTTGACCTAACAACCTTATAATCTATGTTTTATCCTTTACCCATTTTCTATCTGTAATGAACACGAAGTCAATTGGTTGAAAGCTACTCCAGTTATTGTTTCAAGTGAGTGCTGAGTGATGTTGAAATCTTGATTATTGGCCTTGTGACCCCAAAATATAATGATGACTGCCTTTCATGGTGGGAAGGAGACATAATCATATCAAACTACTACAGTAACTGTAATAAACAGACACATACCAGCATCAGCCAAGTCCTCAACATCCGAAAATGCAGCATCTGAGTCCTCCTTAAACATTAAAAATACACAATTACTATAGTTACTGCAGCTAAAACATAACCGAAATGAAAGATCCAATTTATATAATACAAGAATATAAGTAACATATTAATTTTACTGATTTCTTTTTCTATCATTATTTATTTAAGAAATAAGGTATCATTTTAAAACATCTATCGGGATATAAATACGGGTTGGTCACGAGATCAAATTCCATAAAGCCTGAAGGGCTTTATGGTAAATTTGATCTCGTACCAACCTGTATTTATAGCCTGATAGATGTTTTAAAATGATACCTTATTACTTATATTTACATTTGTGACTTATTCATATTTTATATTTGCTTGATTATAATCTTTAACGCGTGAAATGTTTTATTTTTCAAACCTAACGGCACGTGTTTGATCCACTGATTGCGCATTGACCCTTTATGACGTCACTGAGAAATTACGTCGAACGTTTATGACGCGAGGAACCCGTGTTTATACGGATATAGATACGTGTTGCTTTTAATAGTGTTATATAAAAGAAAACATTTGCAAATGTAAATATTTAATAATAACTTCAACATAATTTTGGTATATAACGTCTTTCTACCGTAATATACACATGTATAAAAAAGCTTAATCTAACTGTTCCTAGAAAGACCACATCAACAAGGAACTCTAAACTGTTTACCTTGGTATAGATAAGTTCATTTCCACATGCTCTCACAAACTGATCAGTAATGGGACATAATATATAACTGTCAGATTCCTAAAAATTATGAATTAAAATTTAGATACACTACATATAAAGGTATATAGAATACTGTTTTAATTTTTTTTTCCAAGTATGACAGTATTATACACGTTTTGAAGAAGCCAACAATGGAAATCCTGTACAGACAATTACTATTTGACAATTTTTATTATGCAAATGGAAATTAGTATTTTATTGACATTCACAACAATTTAACAATTATCCCTAGTATATAGCAATTGGAATGGCAGAAGGATGTATTTCTTTTTACAACAAAAATATGAGTGTAACATGAGTAAAGGTGGAAGGTTAAGGTCATCTAACTTAAGTATGATCAAAGAAATTTTGCCAGAATGCCACTGTGTATAAGTTACTTACAAACATAACTCATGGTGTTTGAAAAAATGATGAAATTTATATACTCTGACAAAGTGATTCATAAACCATGAACATGCATATATACTTAAGTCATCAAATGTATGCAAAACAGTGAACAGCAAACAGAATCATAAATGTATACATACTGACTGACAAACCATAAAGAAACACTCATAATTGTATTCACAATCATCTATATCATATATTTATACTTATACTAATCAAAAAAACATAATCAGACACATTTGCATTTAAAAAAAATCCAAATCCAGTAATTGACTTTCTATAAACATGATGATGACCTAGTGATCAACAATCCATAAACACATGCATAACTGAACTACCCTAACAGGACTTCAAAAATGTTAGAACAATCTACAACAGTGACCCACAATCCATGAACAGACACAAATATGTATATATGACAGTGACCCAAAACCATGAGCATTCACATATATATATGAATAATATGTATGCATATACAAAATGTCTAAACTCATAAACACAAAAAAAGTCATGAACTACAGGAAAAATGTTAGAACAAACAATCTACAACAGTGACCCACAATCCATGAACAGACACAAATATGTATATATGACAGTGACCCAAAACCATGAGCATTCACATATATATATATGAATAATATGTATGCATATACAAAATGTCTAAACTCATAAACACAAAAAAAAGTCATGAACTACAGGAAAAATGTAAGAAAAAACAATCTACAACAGTGACCCATAATCCATGAACAGACAAGCCGTGAAGTAACACCAACTAAAACAAAGCAATACAAACACTCATTTTTCATAGACACAGTGATTATATGGAACCAACTTGACAAAGACACAGTGTGCGGAAAATCTGTCGAGGCCTTCAAGACCGCCCTCGCCAAGATTTGTCAATAACATCGATAGCGCCTCTCTCCCGTCGTATAAAAGCCAGTATTGGTTACCACGACATACCATATACAGATACAGATATATACACAAATGTCTACAACCAAAGACACAAAAAGTCATGAACAAACTAAAGGAAAAATATTAGAACACATAATCTATGACTGTGACCCACAATCCATGAACAGACACAAAAATGTATATATGACAGTGACCCAAAACCATGAGCATTCAAATATATATGTATGAATATATACACAAATGTCTAAACTCAAAGACACAATCAAAGTACTGAAAGTACTGAAAGCCGGGCTTTAACATGTTCGAGTGTATTGTCTAATCCTAAATTAGTACATATTTTAAAATCTTTCTTTCTGACCATTGATATTTAACAGGTAGAGTTTGTATGATTATGATTAACAATAACCCATCTACCAATAATTTACGGTCCAGAACCCAACGTTAAGACCCCAGGATAGGACTTGGTGATATTTTTAATGAAAATACATTTATACCTTTCTAAACATTAAGCTCACAATGGTTATGCATGGTAACAGTGCACTTTGAGTGGTTTTGCTGATTCATACAGGCACATATATAGTATCGGAGGAGCTAGGGGTGTCACCATTTTTCAAACATAAACTTTTACAATGGACAATGTACATTGAAAGGTTGATTGACTCTTCACAATCAAATTTAAATTGGAACTTTCATCTCACTCTTCGTAATATAAACCAGGTATTTATCACGAGCGACGAACAGATTTACTAAAAGCAAAATGGATAGTCTAATTTTAATTAGATTGTACCATCATTTTATTGTAGCATATTAAAAGTACGGTAATTTGGTAATGAATTAATGAAATTCGAAATGTGAAAGTAAGTTGTAGCCCATTCCTACTCCTTCTCCAACTGAATAGGATTTTCGGGTTTGGACAATTCTCCTTTTTTCTGATAATGATACTACATGCCTGTATTAATCAGAAAAGAAATATTCTTTATTTTTGGT